GACGTAATAAACAGCAGCTCAGTCATGATCTTAGCTCTAGATCCTTGTGTGACGCTGAGATAATCAGTCAGACGAGACAAGAGGAAGCTCAGCAGAACAGCAGAACAGCTCTGCGTGACCTAAAGCTCTGAGGACCTCTGAGCCGGCGAAACCGCAAGTCAGGGATGCGTCACGCTGTCCAACATCCGTCGCTCCCGATTTTTTACGAAAACGTTTCATGACGATCGCCGGCAGCTGCAAATCTCTGCTGGCTATCACTACTTACTGTGCATCAGTCTGATTATGATAAATCATATGTGACGAGAGGAATGCTGGACTTCACTGGCTCTTTTTTAGGCCCTCTGCCCTCATGAGTGGTAGATGTAACTCCTCTCACGCCAAACCTGCACAGGCTGAATTTCAGCTAAAAAACACATTTTTCGACTCTTCTGATGATTAAAGTGCTGGTGAATTTAATAATCAGGAAACCATCGCGTTGGTCTCCAGTTTGTTTTACTATAGCTTTCTTAAGTATAGTCATAAGATGTTTTGTTTTTGTTTGATTTCTAAAGAGATAATTACAGAAAAGTAGACTCTCGTTTCCATAAGTCACTGAAAGTATTGCAAAAAAGTTGCTATTTGGCAATTTGATGCCTCTTTCATGAGTAATATGTTAAAGATGGTTTTAACATTCTCTCAATGAAACCAGACTGGGCATGCACGGCCATCTGTGCACATGTAACCCGATAGATTAAACGCATCAGTGAATCATCAGTGGAGATACTCCAGTCAAACTTCACACCAATGTCTGGCTAGTGTCAAGATAACAGATAAGTGGTCAATAAACAGACCCCCCGAAAATCCTGTAAAAACTTTAATCTTTACTAAAAGTTGACATGATTCTGTGATGTGTGTCAGCCAATCACAGGTCAGCAACAATCGGTGTGCGATGTGTAAACTGAAACAGTTGGAACAGCTGTGAGTTCTTCTTGCTTTGAGTGCACAGCTGTGAAGGCATTGGAGCACATCTGTTAACAGAGACCAGTGAGATCACCGTGAAAGCCAACACCCGCCACTATGCATTTACACCGCAGTGAAAGACACCCCACATGATGACTCCGAGTGGGACATTTTACATCTGACATAGTTACATTTTTCCTCATTAGCCCAGAAAAAACGAACAAACTTTCACACTCTTTCTTCATTTCTTGTTACTTGCATACACATGCACATCCATGATGCTAATATCAGCATGCGTGGTCCCTGTTTTGTTGATCAGGCTGTGTTTTTGGCAGTTTACAAATTGGACTGTGCAAATTCTGATATGTTGCTCAATATGTTTTTTGTACAGAGTCTATCCTCATCTGTTCGGTATTAGTGTCTTTTTACTGTCCACTCTCAGATTAGGCTTTTTATTTGCAGCTCTGCCTAGATTCTCGTCGCCTCCTCACTGTCACTGGTGGGGGTCTTTATTTTACAGGAGCCATTTATTAAAGCTGCGAGCTGAGGATGCTTTCTCAGTTTAGATAGATGTACTTGTTTTCTTTCTTGGTTGTACACAAAGGCCTCCCACTTCTGTTTCTATTCTGGTTAGAGCTTTTTATGCACATCTTCAGAAGAAAGTTCTGTTGGCAATATCATCACATGCACCAAGACTGACAGATACTCAGCTAACTACGTTGTTGCTTCTTTAATCATCAGTTTTCAGCTGTGCCAACATAATTAGTGCTATTAATGAGTTAGCTTTTTAAGGTGATATAGTTGAATTAAATAACATGATGTGCAACAGGAACATAGGAATGATGGATCTTGAAAATGGGCTTCCATAGGCACTAGATATCTTGATATTCTGTTAAAAAATGTCTTTATGACTGAAATTATATTTCAGAAGGAGAAACAAACAAAGCAAAGTGAGGGGTTGATCCTGACAACTACAGTTCATCAGTCAATGAGCATTCCCTTCATATTCCTTATTTCTAACACTTAAAATTACCTTTGTTTACAAAATGGAGTTAATGATTT